TTTAAGGGGCTGCTGCTGGGCGAGAGCGCCAGCGCCTCCTACCGCAAGGCCTGCGCCGCCTTTCGCGAGGCGCTGGAGAAGGCGGCGAAGAAGGCCGGTCTGACCGTGGTGGAAGGCCACCACCACCACCAGGCCGCCATGCTGGAGGTCTTCACCGAGTCGGTGCTCTTCGTGGAGAGCGAGGCGCAGCTGGTGGCCGGCGTGCGGATGCTCTTTGGCGGCAGAGAAGGACAGGAGATCGCAATGATGGCCCTCGAGGCGAAGGTGATCGAGCTGAAGAGGACGCACTTTAAGCGGTGGATGGTGAGCGACAGCGTCTGCAATGGAGCACCGCCACCATCATCAGCAGCATCAGCGGCGGAGGCGGCGCAGACGAGGCGCCTGGAGGAGCTGGTGCGCACCTTCGCCCCGCTGGGCGTCATCCTCGACGGCGCCATGGCGCAGTTTCCCCTGGAGTGCCTGCCCACCACTCGCCGCGTCCACCAGGCGATGTTTCGGGTGCCCTCGCTCCGTGTCGCCTGCCTTCTCTACCGAGCGCGGCTCGGCAAGTTGGCCTCGGCTTCCACGACCTCTTCATCGTCTGCATCATCATCTTCATCCTCATCATCATCCTCGACCACCACCACCACCACCACCACCACCACCTCCCCCTGCCAGGTCTCCGAGCACAGCTGCTACTACCTGGTGAACCCGGCGGACAATCTGGCGAACACCGACAAGTACTTTCGCGCCAAGTTCCAGGCCTTCGTCCAGCTGGAGCCCGGCTGGGAGGGCGTCATCGGCACCGAACCCGACCTGACGCAGATGGCCGCCTGCCTGCAGGCGAAGGACCTCTTCGTCTACTTTGGCCACGGCTCCGGGTCGATCTACTACCGGCGAATGGCCGGCGGCGGTCTGGACAGCCTCCCGCANTCATCCTCATCCTCATCGTCGTCTGCATCATCTTCATCCTCATCATCATCCTCGACCACCACCACCACCATCACCACCACCACCCCCTGCCAGGTCTCCGAGCACAGCTGCTACTACCTGGTGAACCCGGCAGACAATCTGGCGAACACCGACAAGTACTTTCGCGCCAAGTTCCAGGCCTTCGTCCAGCTGGAGCCCGGCTGGGAGGGCGTCATTGGGGCGGAGCCCGACCTGACGCAGATGGCCGCCTGCCTGCAGGCGAAGGACCTCTTCGTCTACTTTGGCCACGGCTCCGGATCGATCTACTACCGGCGAATGGCCGGCGGCGGTCTGGACAGCCTCCCGCAGCTGCGCTCCGCCTCGCTGGTCATTGGCTGCAGCTCGGGCCGCGTGACGGCGGAGAGCGCCCTGGAGGGCGTCTACGGCACGGCGTACCGCTTTCTCGCCAACGGGGCGCCCTGCTACGTGGGCGCCCTCTGGGACATCACCGACAAGGACATTGACCTGTACGCCGACCAGCTGCTGGCCTACGCTGTCCAGCAGTGGGCGGCGCCGACGACCTGCGGCACCGTCGGCGCCCCGCCCCCCNAGCTGCGCTCCGCCTCGCTGGTCATTGGCTGCAGCTCGGGCCGCGTGACGGCGGAGAGCGCCCTGGAGGGCGTCTACGGCACCGCCTATCGCTTTCTCGCCAACGGCGCCCCCTGCTACGTGGGCGCCCTCTGGGACATCACCGACAAGGACATTGACCTGTACGCCGACCAGCTGCTGGCCTACGCCGTGAAGCAGTGGGCGGCGCCGACGACCTGCGGCACCGTCGGCGCCCCGCCCCCCAAGAAGGAGAAGGAGGGCGCCATCGCCCGGGCGCTCTCCAAGTCGCGAGAGATCTGCAAGCTGAAGTACCTGACGGGGGCGGCGCCGGTCTTTTACGGGCTGCCGATGAGCACTGGCGGCCAGTAGGGTGACACCACCACACTGAACTCTTGATCTCAACATATCAATTCTCTCTGAATCTCGCTCCCTCCCTCCAATCGCTAACCTCTCTTCTTTTCCCTCCTACGTGTAAACTCTTTGCATTTTAATATCTTGATCTTCTTTTTCCTCTCGCTCTACCTTTCTTTTTTAATTTTTCATCTTCTCTTGCAGCTTTCATTCATTCCGTCCGCTTTTACCTCCTCTGTTTCCTTTACCACAGTCCACAGCTGTTGTTTCTGTACAGTTGTTGTTGTTGTTGATGTTTTTGTTGTTGCAGTTGTAGTTGTTGTAGAGTTGTACACAAGTAATCCGAATCCGTAAGAATAAAATGTCCCGTGTTTGATGCTTTTACCCCCGGCTGAAATTGTTTGTCTATGATTGGGCAATCTGCTGCCAGTAGACGGCGCTTCAAGCTTTGTTTTGATTTGAGATGATTTTTTGGCCGCACATGTGATCAAGTTTTGCCATTTTTTCTGGCTTCTGAAACACTGGTTAGATGATCATTCTTTATTTCCAATTTCGCTGATAACTAACGAGCTTTCATTCTTAGAGTTGATCTTCAAGCTACTTCTTCTTCTTCTTCTGGTCATGTTTCTCGGACGGCCTAGTTTGGTTCAGCTTCCTCTTCGAGCACTCTTTCGCTGCCTTCATTCTTCTAGTCATCATCATCAGCATCAACAGCAGCAGCCGAAGCTCGTGCTCGGCATCGAGACCTCCTGCGATGACACGGGCATTGCCCTGCTGCGTGCCTCGGACGGCGCCATCCTCGCCGAGGTGACCGCCTCCCAGACCGCCCTGCACGTCTCCAACGGTGGCATCATTCCGCCGGTGGCCCGCGACCTGCACCGCTCCGCCATTGACCGCTGCGTGGGCGAGTGTTTAAAGACGGCGGGCGATATCAGTGCCCGAGACCTGGCCGCAGTGGCCGTCACCCTCCGACCGGGGCTTTCGCTTTCGCTGCTGGTCGGCTGTCAGTACGCGAAGAAGCTCTCGGCGAAGTACCACCTGCCGGTGGTGCCCATCCACCACATGGAGGCTCACGCGCTGACGGCGATGCTCCAGTACGATCAACTGCGCTNTGCACGTCTCCAACGGTGGCATCATTCCGCCGGTGGCCCGCGACCTGCACCGCTCCGCCATTGACCGCTGCGTGGGCGAGTGTTTAAAGACGGCGGGCGGCGGTGTCAGCGCCCGAGACCTGGCCGCAGTGGCCGTCACCCTCCGACCGGGGCTTTCGCTGTCGCTGCTGGTCGGCTGTCAGTACGCGAAGAAGCTCTCGGCGAAGTACCACCTGCCGGTGGTGCCCATCCACCACATGGAGGCTCACGCGCTGACGGCGATGCTCCAGTACGATCAACTGCGCTTTCCCTTTCTTTGTTTGCTCATTTCAGGTTTGTTGTGGTATTTCAAAATGACACCAGCCAACCATAAAAACAAACAACTAAAACTCTTTTCTGATTTAGGTGGCCACTGTCTGATCGTCCACGTCAAGGGCCTGCACGACTTTGAGCTACTGGGCCGCTCCATCGACGACGCCCCCGGCGACATTCTCGACAAGACGGCGCGAGCGCTCCGCTTAAAAAACCTCGGCCCACCCTACAGCCAAGTGAGCGGCGGCGCCGCCGTCGAGCTGATGGCCCGCAGTGGTAATCCTTTCACCCACTTTGAGCGAGCCACCTCCACGCCGCTGTACAGCAGCCGCCGGCGGACGTGCAACTTCAGCTTCAGCGGCTTCCTCACGGCCATCACCCGACACATTGCCCGACTCGAGGAGGAGACGAAGTTGCCGGCTGATGGCGTCCTTCCGCAGGCGCCCGACATCTGCGCCTCCCTCCTCTACGTGCTCTCCTTTACGCTGATCAAGCGGCTGCAGCGGGCGTACGCCTTTTTGGAACAGAGGCAAGAGAATGACCCAAAATCAGTCTTTTCGAAGCGCTTGGTCGTCAGCGGCGGTTGTGCCGCCAACCAGTTCATCGGCGGCATGTTGCAGGCCTTCGCCGCCGACCAGGGCCTCCAGCTGTTCATTCCTCGGCCGGGGCTGTGCACAGACAACGGCGTGATGATCGCCTGGAATGGCGTGCTCAAGCTCAGGGAGGAGGAGGAGGAAGGACGGTGGTCTCCACCTGGAGCCATCCTCCGCGACCAGGCAGCCATTCAGCAGCTGGACATACAGCCCAAGGCGACCCTGGGCGTGGACATCACCCGGGCGGTGACGGACGCCCACATCAAGACGGAGCGCATTGACGTGAAGAGCTATGTTGGTGGTTTACTTCACCAAAAAGATCATCATCAACAACAACAACAGAGTAGTAAAACGTAAAATAGAACCTCTCCAAAGGAGCGTGTGTGTTTACAGCGTCTTGACGGGCGCCACCTTGAGCCGGCTGGCGATTTCGTTCTGTGGGTGAGATAGCAAAAGGTTAACCTTAAACTTTATCCTCACAATCATCACCCCCTCCCTTTTCAACTTACCGCCATCTTGATCTGATTGGCGTGGTACTCGATGCCGCCGGCGCGGTCACACTTGGCCATGTGCTGGCGCTCCGGGTCGCCGGCCACCAGAACGGGCTGCTCACCCGAGGTCTCCTGCGACCGCAGGTCATCCATCATCGTCTGCAGGCGGCCGTTGAAGCCAGGCGCGAAGAGCGCCGGGTTGATGGCGATGAAACAGTGGCCGAGGTCGGCGATGGCGCTGTTGGAGGTCCAGTGGCGAATGTGCGGCGCGACGGCGGCGCCGGAGAGGACGCCGGTGAGGATCTCCACGACGGCCGCTAGACCGTAGCCCTTGTAGCCGCCTAAATAGAACACGTTAGAAACTACCTCCTTTTCACACCTTTAAGAAATACTCACTGGAAGCCTCGGGCCCGCCGAGGGGCAGCAGTGCGTGGTACTGATTGGGATCAGAGATGCTGGCGCCCTCCTTGTCCACCGCCCAGCCATGGGGAATCGGTTGCTCCTTGCGGGCGGCCAGCTCGATCTTGCCCAGCGCCACCACCGAGGTGGCCATGTCCAAGACAAAGTTGTCACCCTTAGCTGCGCCGGGAGCCGCCACCGAGATGGGATTCGTCCCGAAGAAGGGCTCCTTGCCGCGGGTGGCGCTCACCAGCGGAGAGGCGTTGGTGAAGGCCATTCCCTGGAAAGAAAATGATTTGTTTTGTTTAAGTTTATTAGAAAAAGGAATCGTTTTCCTTACGATGAGATTCTCCTCCAGCGCCATGGTGCTGTAGTAGCCGGCAATGCCAAAGTGGTTGCCCCCTTTGGCGGTGACCAGGGCAATGCCGGCGGTCTTCGCCTTCTCGATGGCCAACTTCATGCAAAATCGGCCAATGACCGGGCCCAGCAGGCCCTGGCCGTCCACCCAGGCGCTGGCCGCCGTATGGTTCAGTATCACCGGGGACCCGGTCCCCTTGCAGCTGCCCTGCTGTACGTCCTTGATGTACAGCTCTGGGGAAAAAAGAGAGGTATT